GATGCAGTATGCAAGGCAAAAACAATCCTAATGAGGCTGAAAGTCAGTATTTGGTATGACTACCTTGATTCTTTAATGGTGAGATGGAGGAGGCAAATCCATATTGTTCATTCGTGTTGTGCTTTTCTTTTAATCCAGGTTTGCTTTTACTGTATTTGGGACCATTGCTATACAGAGAAGCAAAGCCTTTTCAAATCTAATGGTAATTTTTCTGTGTTCATAATTAAATCATTTTTAACAAAACCACTGGCTTAAACACAGCCCAAACCATGACTGAACCTCCACCATGTTTTACATTGGCTGCAGACACTCACTGACTTGTTTTGTGTATATAATCAAGTGATACCTGTCAAGTAATTGAGTGCAGATCTTTTAACTGTTCCCATAATTAGATCTACTGTAACGGGCTAACGAGAATACTTTCACTTTACGTGATCATGTGATCCTGTTGTTTGGAAAAGGTTATCTGCTGGCCTGAGGTTAATTATCACTTTAAAAAACAGACTCAAAACAGTTTTATTCTCACAGACTTGCATTTAACTGTGTGTATGTGATTATGTGTGTGTGTTTTAACTTATATTTTACTTCTTTACAAAGCTTTTTAAAGCTTTTATCTTCTGTGTCAAGCACATTGAGTTTATGTGTAAGGAAATATGCTACATATATGCTGTACCCCTCTTGACCTCTTCACATATATTTAGTGATGATTTGAAACAACAATTTCAAATTTGAATTCATGATTCCACAAGACCTGCTGCCACTGATCTTCTGTCCAGTTCTTGATGGCATACCTCAACTTTACTTCTATGTTTCTCTTTCTTATCAGTGGCTTTTTGATAGTAGGCCATCCACTGAGACCATTTCTGATGAGGTTTCAGTGAACAGTAGATGTCTCAGTTGAAAGGCAAGATGCACTCTCAGGTCCTGTGTTAGTTGTTTCATGGGTTTTCCTATTTCTTAAAGACATAACTTCCAGATACTGGTTGTCTGCTATAGATAGTATTTTAGACTTGCAACGTTTTCTTTCCTCCTCAGTTTATTCGGTTTCCTTTTTTTTTTTCCTTAACAGACTACTGGTAACAACGTGTCTAAAGATTACAATCTAAGATTAATTATTTGCTAAGTTCTCTGTCATATGTAGACACAACACTGGGGGATCCCTCAAGCTATAGGTGCCTTTTTATGTTTGAATAATTCATAGGTCATTGTTAAGTGGAAAGAGGAACTGCTCAAGACCACTTGAAAAAGACCACAAATTAAAGAAAGTCTAGTTCCTTAAAAACAAAATATAAAGAAAGGAGGGTTGGCTCAAGACTTTTGCATAGTACAGATGTCTGAATCTACACTGTATGCTTGTGATTTTATTTGTGCATAGATGTATGTAGAATGTAGACAGATATATGGAAAAAGAATGTGTGATGGGGTATTGGCAGCCTGATAGCTGAAGACTGTCCTTTTTAAATTTAAAGCCATTAGTCATCAGCCCTGAGTGAAGATATCTTAAAAACAGACCAGGACAAGAATCAAGCCAGTTACTTCACTTGCCCCAACACTCCATGAGAGAGAAAGACAAGTGGAGAGAATGGGGACTAAACAGACAGAGACAGCAAAACACACATAGCAAAACTAAATTGTCATCATTTTTGCCCTCCCTTTTTCTCACCCTCCGCTGGATTTTAAACATTCTAAAATAGACACATATACACAAACTCACAAACAAATCCATGGAGTAAGAAAAACTGGAAAAATGAGTGAGAAAGGAAACATCATGTCCAGTTAGAAAGAAGGACTGAGTCATCTAGTTTGTTCTGCCACATGCCAACAGGGAAGAACTAACTGCAAGCGCAGCTGCCAAAGAGCCGAAGGGACTTCAAGGATGTGTCAACAGACAGTGCTCAAACACGAGCGCTTCTTCTGTTATGTCTTCCAGGCTATTTTCTTCCACTATTGACTGAATGTGCACAGTTACTGTAACCCAAACTTTAAACTTCCGGTGAACTTAAACAAGAAAAGATGACTGTACAGCTGAAAGCATGAAAAATTGCACCCCTTGAACTGAACTGAGAAATAGTTCGGATAACTTTCTAATCCAGTCGAACAGACTTTTAAATGGAGTTTCATTTGAGGGTAACAGTTCTTGTATAAGCAACAATCAGAGATCGTAAATCACCAGCTGGTGTAGAAGGCCTGAGGTAGTTCTCTTGCAATTGTCTTTGTACAGTAAATTGAATTGTCACCGTCCAATCAAGTGCGTGTTTCTTTACTGAAGTACTAGGTTTCCTACTGTACAATCACAAGTTAGTATGCCAGTTCTTGTCAAACTAGTGTTTTCATGAAGAGTTTTTTGCAAATGCAAGAACATTGAGTTGGTGCTCTCTCTTTGTATCAGCTGCATTACTTTCTCTTCATGGGAGAAGTTGAAAATAAACTACCTACACTGTAACTAAGAAGCACTGTTTTGTCTGTGACACACAATTCAGAATCCACCAGGCTTTTAACAGGAGGATCTTGCAACTTTAATCAAGTGCAAGTGCAAGTCCAGATGTGTGACTAATGAAAAGGAATAAAAAGTGCCCTTGACCCCCACAGGTACAAAATCTGGTGTCTTAGTTATGCCCTTTGGATTCACTCGTACCTTTAGAGGTAGAAGCCACTGTTAATCAATCCAAAGTTATTTCGAGTCATCACTTTTATCATGTGATCAGACTGGTCTCTTCCAGGCAGACAATTGTCGTATTCATAGTGCAAAAATTGTGTGAATCACATGCCGGGGCCTTCGCAGTCAGATCTGAACTACAGTATGGGAGGTTTTGTACAAACGAAAATAGCAATGAAAAAGTAATGAATATCTTTTTGAAAAATGACATTTTATTCCTCATGTGGACCTCATTGTTGGATTAATTCCAAGTTATACTGAAGCTGTTATCCTTAAAAAAAAAAACCAAAAAAAAAAACCCCCAACAGATTTGGTCTTGTATTTCTGTCCATTTGTGTACCTCTAAAACTAAGGAAGCAATATAGGAATTAAACCAACCCAGAGGCTAAAGAAATACGCTTGCAAGCAGTCGTCAACATAAATATGCCATCCATGCAGAAGGTACTATATTAGGTTGAATGCTCATTGTATAAAAAGCACAACAGAGTTAACTACAAAAGAAACAATCACATTTTTGGTTCTGGTTCATTTACTGGCTTGTATATTTGGGACCAACACATTTGCTAGCACCAAAACAGAGCCAGTCCAGTCTATACTAAAGACCTGGATGTTTTTCTTTTGTTTTGTTTCTGGAAACAAATAAATTAAGCGTCAGTATTTATAGAAATTTATTGTATTTGATCACCACTAGCTACAGATGTTTATGTCTGTTTACTTTCATTTAGAGGTCAAAGCTGTATGCATAGCTGCACATTTATGTCATTTGGACCTTTCAAATCTGTATGAAATCTTGCTGCCAGCCGTGAGATTAGCACATTCTTGATGAAGTGAATGATTTTCTGGTTACTACGTGAATAGGCTTGCTGCTGACATTCAGCAGAAAATGAGCCCGATGTGTAATCAAAGGTCCCCATTTATCAATAATGCCCTCAGTGCTAAAATGTCAAAATCCTGTATCCACATTTATTTAAGAAATGAAAAATGCACACAAGTCATACAAAAAGCTCGGGGTTAATTTATATGTATCATATTTTTCATTGCCTTCATTAGTACTACTTTTGGCACAAATTTGTATAACTTGATATATAATAATGTCACATTATATTGATTCCATTGGGTGTACTCTCACATTGCAGAGCATGTCCACCTGCAGTGTCGAAGCCACTGAGGGGAGGACTGACTGGATATATGACCGCTAAAAGGGGTATGAATTCTTTCCCAACACACTGCACCAACCCACTCCTAAAAGCTTAAATACTGTATTTGTTTTTATGCTAGCTGAAAGTCTCTTCCAACACAGAAGAGAAATGAGATTATTGGATATTAGTTAACTCAAACATCAATAAATATAAAGCGATAGTGATTTTGGGAAGTAGATCTCTGGGCGGTTTAAATGTCAGTCTTTAAAATATGTTGTGAAAAATTCAAGCAGTGTTTCAAGACCAACCCTTTTTGGGAATTTCCTCATTTCCATTAATTCATGGTATACAATCCCAGTGCTGGCTTTGCGCAGTGGAGAACTTTTCTCTTGGGAAAGACACAGTAGAGAGAAAATGGCTGAGGCAGAGGGACATCCCACAGATGAAAGAGATGACAAAAAATAGATTTTTTTGTGTGTTTTGTCAAAATACAGTTAGGTCTATGATTTGTTGGACAAAGACAGATCTTCTGTAGTTTTGCTTTAGTACGCCGCCACAGTGGATTTTAAACTAGCCAATCAATATGTGATTGAAGTGCAGACTTTCAACTTTAGTTTTAAGGGTTTTTCAAAAGATTTCGCATTAACTGTTTAGGAATTACAGCCATCTTTATGCACAGTGCCCCGTGTTCAAAGGGTTAGAATTAATTGGAAAATTGACTGACACACAGTTTTGTGCACTAGGTGAGACCTGTTTTCTTGTTATTTCATGGCAAATGAAGCAAACATAATATCTGAACTGGATTCAAAGAGTTGAATTTCTACGTCGGAGCTTTTTGACAGAATTTTAAGTATGAGAGATGTCTGTGCAAGTGAGAGAGGCCATCATTTGTCTGAAAAACAAAACAAAAAAGCGAAACAGCAACAAAAAAAACCAATCAGAGATAATAAATAACTTTGGGAGTGGCCAAATCAAAAATCTGGTACACTATATTAATAAAACAACGAAATACTAAGGTCTACAATCAAGAGACATCTTTGCAAATAGAAATATAGACTGGAAAAGCCACTCACGATATTAAGCATACCACATTATCGACATGTATGGCTCCTACTGGTCACTAGGTCACTAGTGTTTATTATTGATGTGACTGCTGATTCTGTAATCACCAATCCTACGAAGCAAAGAAATCAGAAAGGCCTTACCTGAAAGGGTCCACTGGGGGTAACGTCAAAGAATGCTTTCTTCCAGTCTGGGCCTTGATGACCAGATTTTGTCCACATTGCTCGGTCCACAGAGGCTATGCTTCTCACTCGCAGATAAACATTGAGAGTACCTGTGAAAAAAAATCCCATGCGCAGCCACACATCCAGACAAACACAGCCACAAACATGTACAGGAATTTAGAAACACTCAGTGTCATTGTCACTCTTGCTGGTTTTATAGTTATGGTCATTACCAAACACAGATATATTCCACTGCAAAAAATTATAATAATAATAATACTAGAGCAAAGATCAGTTTGTCTTGGAAGAATGGCCAAATATTACTCCTGGAATTTGTGAAACACACTATCATCCTGTTGAGATTTGAGTCTGTCCCCCAAAAGAAAACTGACTATAATAAATATTTAAACAAGATTCCGATTTCAATATCTAAAGGTGCCGTGACTTTTGTTGCATTTTATTCCCATTGTGAGGACTGTATATTTAATATAGCAAGTCTAAAACTCGACCCTTTTGTTTTACTTGCCATGGAGAAATAATCCAAATAGTGTCCATCTCTTTTTTCCCCTCTCTCTGTCTCTTTCGGGTCTCTAAAAGTAGGTGTGAGAGAATCATTCATCTTCTTAATGATCCCCAGCCAGCTCCTAATTGGAACATTAACCAACCACGAGTCTCTTAAACAAATTTGCAAGCAGGAGGCACGCTATGCTATACTATATTTGTGTGTGTGTGTGTGTGTATACGTACTTATAGACTTATGCTTACACAATGGAATCAATCATTGTTTTGTGAAACTATAAGCCTATATTCTTTAAATCCTGGAAAAATCACCAGGCTGGCAGCACTAAGCATCATACTTTGTCACAGGAGATTTGTGATACTAGGGGAAGGATCCAACTGAGCAGTTAAGCAACATGTTTCAACTGTCTGTGGGCACCGAGGGAAGCAGTGTTATCGGACTGTCAATCCAGTCTTCACCTTAACCCTACATATTTTAGCACTGTGAAAATGTCAAATAAAACAAATGACGCCAGAAATGTTTAATTAAACATTTCTGGCACATTTACACAGATTTAAAGATTTGTTTGGCAAGTGGCAGATGGCTGTTTTGATTCCAGTTGATAACAGGAAGGGCATCTCATTTAAAAAAAAACAAGGGAGGAGGGGAAAGTAGCTTTAGTGGAAGCCAAATTGATAACAGCTACAGCCAGTAGCTAGTCAATATATATTGAGAACCACCAATACCTCCAACAAACCACTAACCAAACATGACTCCAATCAAAGAACATCTTGTTCTTATTGAGTTTTTAGATTCTATGTGAATTACATAAAATAATATGCCATATTTAGTTGCTTTTGAAAGCCATGATTCTTTTGCTGCCTTTGAATCAGTAAAGCTGTTTTCCCATGGTTGTGATCATTATAAGGAAAGTCTAGTCTCCACTAGAGATGAGCAGTAACGCGTTACCAATTACTATTTTCAAGTAACGAGTAAAGTAAGGGATTACTATTGCAAAAAAGTAATGAAATTACTGTTACTTTCCCCATACTTTGCCTTACTGCATTACTAAACCGTGATTTTGTTTGTGAGAGTGTCTCACGACAATGACGTACGAGTGTGCGACGTCTGTGGCAGCAACAGACGGGCGTAGTAGATCAACAATGGATAATATAGAGTGTGAGAGAGAGTACGACCATGCAGCATTTAAAGCTTGGAAGTCCTGACATTACTTTAGTCCGTGAAAAGTGGCAAAAACATTAGCGCCCACTGTACACTCTGCACGGGAAGAAAACTTCTTTCTACAGTGAAAAATTTAAATTTAAATCTGAGCAAGCACCTAACAAGCTGCCACAGGAATGTGAAATTCACAGAGAAACCCCTGGATCCCCCTACTGACATGACCACTGCAGCACCGGGCAAATCTCCACCCACTCCTGCTAAACAGGTGAAAATAGACTTAAGAGTGACAGGGCTTTGTGCTGCTGAATCTTTGATTTTATTTATGTTTTGATGTGTTTTACTTGCATCTATTTGAAAGAGTGAGTGTAAACACAAAAAAGTATTTTATTTTATATGCTGATATATGCTTGTGGGG